AATACGACATTTCTATTATGTTTGCACTGATCTGCCTAATGGCCGCGTCAACGCGCGCTCACGACCATCGGTTTTCTCTCACGTTTTTTCATTCTCCAAACAGGGCCACGGCTGCGCTGATGACGGCCATCATTATGCACCATGACGCTGCAATATTTAAAACAAGCACGCGCGTATGCGAGACAAAACGGGCCGCTAAAGTGTCATGAAAAGGCCATAACGTAGCGATGTTATTGGCAACGCGGCCAACGCGGCGGGTGAAATCACTTCTGCCAGCCGCGTGACTCCGACTCGGTCGGACCACGGACCGCAGACGTGCGTCAGGAGTCAGGCAAGCGAGGCGAGTTGGCGCGCTGGTCACGGCTCGCTTGAGAACAGGCGACTCGTCACCATCGCTGACGTCACTCCTGGCGCGGATGGTAAACACGGCCGCCTGAAGTGATAATGGGTTGGCCTTCACCCAGTCCGAATGACAATGGGCTGGCCGTCGCCCAGTCCGAATGACAATGGGCTGGCTGTCACCCAGTCCGAATGACAATGGGCTGGCCGTCACCCAGTCCGAATGACAATGGGCTGGCCGTCACCCAGTCCGAATGTGTCATCAGGACGTCCTCAAGTGAACGCTGTGGAACCGTCCTCAAGCGTACGCTGTGGAACCGTCCTCAAGTGTACGCTGTGAAACCATCCTCGAGTGTACGCTGTGGAACCGTCCTCAAGTGTACGCTGTGAAACCATCCCCAAGTGTACGCTGTGGAACCGTCCTCAGAATAGGCTGGTGACCGCTGGTGGCCGCTTCCAACAATAGATAACATTGCTTGCAATTCTTTAGATGGGAATTTAAGGCACAATCAGGGAGCGAAACGAACTTTCTTGTTCTGGTGATGATTTTCGTGAGCTTTTGTTGGGGGAGAAGATCCAAAGCTCACACTTGATGTCGCTGCCACCAGCTTGGCGACATGGTGACACCCATATGATGTCATGTTTCACCTATGGTGTCATAGCCTGTCCTCAGGACAGAAAGGCATGCACGCTGCCAGATCTGTCATCAAAACAACTGCCCGTCATACAGCTCGAGTCTGTCACCAGAATAGAAGGACAGGAAGACAGACGACAGGTCAAGAATCAGGGTTTGTCATCAGAATGTCCTGAAAGACAGGTCAGCTAAAAAGTCACGGGCATCTGGAGTTAATTGGGCTTAAACCTCCCTTATCCACCCGGAAGGGCGGACAGGTCACTGTTATGTGACGCCTACTATTTCCTCGCATCCATGGTTGGACAGTCGCTCCACGAAGAATAACAAAGGCCTGACAGGGCCGAAAGGAATGGTGCGGTCTTAGCTGTGGCTCTGTGTGGCCACGCCGACTGGTGCAGTTCATGCATCACACAGGTGTAGTGTGCCCAAGCGCAAGACACGCTTGCACAGTGTGGCTGTGGCTGTGTGGCCTCGCCGAGTGGTGTGGCTCATGCATCACACAGGTGTAGTGTGCCCAAACGCAAGACAAGCTTGCACAGTAGCTGTGGCTGTGTGGCCACACTGACTGATGTGGCTCATGCATCACACAGGTGTACCGTGCCCAAACGCAAGACACGCTTGCACAGTGTGGCTGTGGCTGTGTGGCCACGCCGACTGGTGTGACTCACGCATCACACAGGTGTAGCGTGCCTAAGCGCAAGGCACGCCTGCACAGTGTGGCTGTGACAGAGGCACAGCGTTATTCAACGCAGGCATGAAATCACCGAAGACTGCAGTTCCTAGGCCTGCGGCGTTTGTGGACCCCCGGGACCGTCTCTGTGGCGCTCAGCCGTCGCTCCGCCGGGGATGCCGTCATCGGCGCGTGTCGCGGCGGCACCAGGCAGCGGCCACAGGCGTCAATACCGCCCATGACGGAGGGGTGCCGAAAAAAGCCACCAGAGCGCGCCGTCCGTCTCAATTCTCCTGGCTTGCCACACGCGGCGCCGATGCGTGAGCGATAGCAGTGGCGTGGGAAGGTGTATTGTTCCGACGTGCTGCGTCATGATGCCGCGCGTCGTCGCTTCCGAGTCGATCGTAGCTCCCTGACCCCATGTGACCCGAGGTGGTGACCCGACGTCGATCTGACGCCACAGACGTGGTGATCTAATACTGACCCAGGGTTACCGAGGTGATGGCGCGGTACTGAACTGGTGTTACCGAGCTGGTGGCTCAGTACTGACCTGGCGTTATAGAGGTGGTGGCTCAGCACTGACATGACGTTATCGAGGTGGTGGGTTGGTACTGACCTGGCGTTGCTGAGGTTGGCGATGAAGTCCATCGTGAGTTGGACGGTGACCTGGCCGAATTCGTGAATCACTCTAAAAATCGTTGGGATCACCTGAAATGCACGTTACCCGCGATTAAGATCAAATATTTTTGGTTAAGCCAACATTGTGCCTGACACCTGGGTTTTATCTGTTGGCTAGCATACACACACACGCACCCGAACACGCACACGCACACGCACAGGCACACGCACACGCGCACACACATACGCCCGCCCGTACGTACGCACGCACGCACACGCACATACAATGTAAAGTGTACATGGCGGAGACTATAATTTCGGAATCCTTGCTGGACCATCTTCATGACGCGCTAGCTGCAAATGCATATAGGGTACCTGTCTTGAATTATCTAATCTTGTGGTAAGATGAAATTTATAGTGACCTAGAATAGCACCGTACACTCGGGGTGGGTTACCGGATTGGAGGGTCTATTCTGCGAAGCCCGTGCCAGTGAACTTACTTGTCTGGGCTTCGATTACCGTTATGTATGGTAAACATTCACGGATTGGGGAAACGACACGTTATTTATTTTACACAAAGATAGTAATTTGATGTGCGAAAGAGAAGAGACACAAAATAAGCACAAAGTGAGATCCCAACAAAAGACTACTGTTGATCTGATTCTCGCTCAAGTTGTTTTTCCACAGTAGGGCTCATCTCACACTCATACAAACATATATGATCTCATCCCGAACCACCGACCAGAATACTGGAGGCAGACTTACGCCCTTGGCTCGAATAATGCGTCCAAACACGTCCTTGTTGATGTGGTGCCGGCCGCAGATGAGGTAGGCGGCAGTCTCTATCACCTGCACCAGCTCGCGGTCGTCAGTGGTCCTAGCGAGGCGCAGGCGTCACAGCAGGCGTCACTGCGTCACTCTGATCAGCCTTCGGCACTTTGCTGGTGCCCGAGCACCAGGCAATGAGCAGTCACGATGCGGAAGGGGCGGTCGCGGGGACAAGGGCGTGCAGCCAAGGGGGGGGGGGGCTAACAGGTTCGTTCCCCTTTCCCCTCCCATCCCTCCTGAGC